GTAAACCTAGAAGGCGCGGAAGTTTTTAAGGTTTTTAGATTGCACCAAAATTAGTGTAATTTGAATAACTAAAGGGTGAAGACTGCTGGATGGCTCACTTCCAATCGAGGTCGGCAATTTTTATTATGCCGTAGTCGTGCGCAACATACCAGTGCACAATTGGTTAACGAAACAATGTTTTTGTGACGAAGATTAATTCCAAGACTGTATCCTTTTCGAATTCCACTGAAGTTGTGAGTTTCGTGCTACCATTAAATGCCGGCCAATCAAGAATAGCGTTTGCAGAAAAACACAGGTAGTCATATGCAAAAGAGCATTTAATGAAGAAAAATGGAAACTTAAAAACATACGAAAAAGCCAGAATGAAGTAGGTAAAAAAGAAAGCTGAAAAGTTGGCGCCATGGGGATCAGCATCGGTAGTCGGGGCTGAAGTAGTAGACACCTATGTCACCGTTTTCAAAGCCAGCGCAGAAACTGGAACTTGACACACAGTCAATACTTGTCACTTTCCGATCACATGGTAGAAACCCGACAAGTCGGGGCTAAAAGATTAAAAAAATAAAATAACATTAAGAAAATAAATTATATGACACGAAATCAGCAGACTGGTACAGTAACTGGCAGATAAACTCAGGGCAAGTTGGCCGGCCGTAGTTTTGAAACTATGCAAAACGGTCAAATCAAATTGGTTTAAATATTTCGGCACTTAGCCGGTCGGTGATGCATACTGTAAAGTAGCACGCACTTGTCACATATTCTTTATCTCTCAAATTGGCTTTCTGGTGTATCGACCGGACATTTTATTTGGAATATAACCTAGTGGGGGTTGGTCATATCAGATTTAAATAAATCAGAAAACCTTACCGCCTAAAAAACGGTTCTTGAAAAGTTGTACATCTGTATGAATGGTCAGAAGTATGAAGAAGCCGTTATGCTGGTCTAACACGTTTGTCCTCTTAACTGAACCCCATAGTCGAAAGTCCAGTCAGAACCGAAAGCCAATCTTACAACTGATGTCATGGGCTGACAAATCTTCTAAGTCCATCCTACATAACATTTCTAAGAGTTTGCTGGGTAGCCTACCGGTTTGATTGGATTGACTAACCTAATAAAGCCAACTGACCATAAAAGGAGAAGGTTCAAGTAGAATTAAAAGGTCGCTTTTAGGTATGGTTGTCCTATGTACTTATTTACATATAAAAAAGAAGTTTAAATAACATGAAAAGCCAGTTGGGGAGTGAAGCGGAGGAATGCGATCAAATGGACAGTCCACTTACCAGATTAGACGGCGTACGCAGGTCGAATAGAAGAAAGCGTACGAGACCATCGGAGGAGCCAACGACCGTTAGGACTTCGGTTTCATTGACTCTTCCAAATTTAAGTTCAGAGGAGCGCAGAGCTGTCACTTGGGTACCTTTTGGCATCTACAAAGCAAGGTAATGATTTTAACTTGGGGACCATGATCAACCTTAGGTGTTTGACAGAAAAAGTACAGGATACTCGTGTTCTCGGGTTCTCGACGATAAACGCACGCGTAATTTTGCGAGTGTCATAATACAATCATCAGGGACCAAATTTTCTATCACCGCGTCCTAAGAAGCCAAGCAAAGTAGCACCTTGTGCGATCCTTTAGACGTTTTTTTAAATTTGAAATGGTTCATTTTAATATAACAGGGCAGTGGTCACGTAGACCGAGTAGACACTTTTTCCAATTCAAAGGTACCAGATACGCCATCGACAAGAAAAAAAAGTGTCTGGACCTTGAGCTAGTATATGTGTTGTTAATATGATGTATCTTGTAACCCCTTATATATTGCTGGCTGCCCGTTGACCGGTTATTTCGCTGTCGTTGATAGACTTCAGCAAAACTTTCGGTCTACGCCTAGAAAGCTTCATATAGACTGATTTACTCGAAGTCAGTGAATAATTTCTGAGGAGAGTGAAGCTCAACAATTTAAAAGCTGGAGTATCTACCAGCAAACCGACGTGGGACGCTGGGAGACTCACTGATGAGTCGAATCCCTGGCAACTTTGTCATCTAGTTGCAGCATATCGGCGAAAAGTAACCTTAAGAAGTATTACCACCTCATCATAGGCTATGTATCGTGGCCTATCAACTGAAACTAGAAGGCAAATCAGACTAGCTTGTATGTCGTCCTGCTATCAGGCTAGGTCGGTCGAAGTCACCCCCTCCCTTTGGTGTCGGATGTTTTATGGAAATAGCATAGTAAATTATAAACATTAGGTTTTCTCGCCAGTCAGGCAGGTCAGTCAGGCATCAGAGTAACACATCTAAAAGCTGACTCAGGGTAGGGGACATGTCGTTAAATCAAAGTAGCCCGAAGC